AATGTCTTTAGTTTCTTTTCAGAATCACGAATCTTTTGCTCTAGGTGAGAAAAGATTTGGTTATTTGAGGCAAGCCTTTTAAAGGCTTCTTTTGTTTCACAATGCAAATTATTAAAAGTAGTTTGCAATTCAAAATGAGACAATTTAGAGGAATTTTCATACTTAGCATGTCGTACCTTTTTCTTTTTGTTCTTTTGATGGGCGGAAAGACAAAGATTGACAGATTCATCTTCATCACTAGAGCTGTCATCCTCGGATGATTCACTATCGCTTTCCCAAGCAATATACGCTCTCCTTGGCTTAGGTTGCTTCTTATGTGACCTACTTGATTCCTTCTTTTTATCCTTTTTCTTCAAGGGACAATCCGGTTTGTAGTGTTTGGTCTTTCCGCAATTATAACACGACCCTTTTGTCTTATTTCCTTTATTGTCGTCATTTCTAGAGTATCTTGATTGTTTCCGGAAATTGACAAGATTTTTCTCGGAGTGTTGGATACCGTTCTTTTTGACATAGTGATTGTATCGTTGTACAAACAGCCCCATATCCTCACTCTTGTCATCATCTTCGTCATCACTCGAGGTGTAATCACTTTGCTCTTTTGTTTGGGACTTTGAGGAAGAAGTCTTGAGAGCAATAGACTTCTTTTCAATATTTTTCGTTTTCTCCTTCTTTTCCTTCTTTTCATATTGTTCTAGGCTTAGAAGCACTTGTTCGTGCTCTTGCAACTTTCCAAACAATGTTGTGAGATCCAAAATCATGAGATCGTTAGCTTCTTTAGTTGCGGTCACTTTTGGTTGTCATTCTCTGTTAAGACATCTCAAAATTTTGTTAGTAGCAACATCATTGGCAACTGGCCTACCTAGTGAGTATAATCTATTGATGAAATGAGTGAATCTCTTTTGCATATCCGCAATGGTTCCCCCTTGCTCCATGTGAAAGAGATCAAACTCTTGCGTTAACATATTGATTCTCGCTAGCTTAACATCATTAGTTCCCTCACTGGCAACTTGCAATGAGTCCTACATAGCCTTTGCAGTTAAACAATGAGAAACCCTATAATATTCATCAACTCCTAATGAGGAGATCAAAATATTTTTGGCTTTCCAATCGTAATTATATTTCTTCCCGTCATCATTATTCCATTGTGCTTCAGGCTTAGGCACAATCATGTTATTCTCATCAGTCATAGTTATTTCAATTAGACCGTTAAGAATAACATTCCACACCTTCTTGTCAATGGAATTAATATGCACACACATACAGTCTTTCCAGTAACTATAGTTTTCTCCATTAAAAACATGTGCTATATTATAAGCCCCTTTAGGATCGTCAGCCATTTTCTACTAAGTTATACTTGAAGCACGAAGTGAACCGGTGCTCCTAATACCACTTGTTAGACGATGGCGTGGATCTAGAAGGGGGGTTGAATAGATCGCTTGCTTAAAAAGAGTCGGCACTACCAAATAAAATTGGTTTTTAAAAATTATTTAATTTGCGGAAGCTGGCCGAGGAACTATACCATTTATAACGAACGGTTACTAGAAAACCAGATATGCGTCAAGCCTATGGAATCCGATAACGAGTAATGAGAATCACTATGCTAGTCACACTATCCATTTGATTTAGTTCACAATGTGGTATGACTAGTTCCAATGCCTTAAAATATTCAACAATAAATGGGCAACACATAAGGCTTTTGGTTCAGACAATTTATCAAACACTTGGCGTGCAGAGCACAACAAGTAAGTTCCGCTTTGAGTGAGTAGCTCAAGTTTCCTCGTACAATCAACGATTGTACTAGATTTAAAATCAGTTTAGAATTACTCAAATCGGTCCTAGATTGATATAATTGTTTGCACTAAAAACCACAAATATTACACAGTGTAAAGTATAAGGCAAAAGACGCAACGATTTGTTGAGGCAGTTCCCCCGTCGTCCTCGCTTCGGGGTACGTCTGCCCTCAATTCTAATAATAGAATTGAGACCTTATAATATAAATTTAACCTGTTGTAGAATTGTATATACAAGAACTGAATAGCAATCAAACGAACGAACACCCTTGTTGTTGTAGATGCTATCTCTTCTTGCCCCTTGATTTGATTCGAATCAAGTCCTTCGACAACTTATGAATAAACCTCTGATTGCAGCTTTATGTTTGAACAACCTTCAGTCTTCAAAACCTAGCCCGACTGATTTCAATCACCCGCGTGTCAAACCCGAAACTCTCCTTCACAATCCTCTGTTTACCGTTACTAAATCGACGAAACCCACCGCTCCTTGATTACCTCCACTCGGCTGAATATGTGTTGAGAAGAATCGTGCAAAAACCTCCAAATTCAAAGAATCCTGGAGGAAAAAACCCTAGAGGTTTTATTCAAGAAAAACCTGTCAATTCCTCAACCTGAACCAGATTACCCAATCAGCAGCTTCGAACATTATCACCTCTAACAATGCATAATGCACAACAAAGATTATTGTGTGTGATTGTTGTGGTATGCTGTGAAGAAGATGAAGATGGTGAGAACTTGAATTGACACCTATTTCACTTTTCTTGTTTTTCTCAATATGATTGATATGAAGTGAAAAGAGCAACTTAATATTTATACCAGACAAAACTGTTATAACTGATAAAACCACTTTCCAAAAATAATAGACATAATAGAAAAATAGCGAGCGGTTGACCCATGCAGAGTGCAGGGTCGACCTGAGCTAACCCGAGGAAAAGATTGTGCAAAATACACAACCATGCGTCGACCGGAACAAGGCATGCGTCGACGCATAGCCTGAATTTTTAGACAAATACAAATGCCAATAGTATGAGTCGATCGGTAGGTCGACACGAACACACCTGAAGAAAATACAAAATCTAGACACATAGTATGAGTCGACCGGAACAAAGCTTTGGTCGACTCATAGACCTGAAACTTCTAAAAATGCCTAATTTTATACTTTTGACTCTTTTAGATGATACCTATGATAGACCAATGAAGTTTAACTCATACGACACATATTTTGACAACTCTATATGCAACACCGAAGATATTTTATGCAAGCAAATGAATCATGAAAACAAGCATCATCAAAACAAGCATATATGTGAAGCTAAGTTTTGACATCATGAAAACGTGCAACATGAAAACAAGCATCATGAAAACGTGCAACATGGTGATAACACCCAACATCGATCTTTCTATGAAGCTAAGTTTTGACATCATCAAAACAAGCATATCTTGTATATGAGGCTTTGTCCTCACATTATCGACCATCGTGCATTCAATAGTTTCGGTTGTTAAATGCTTGTTGAGATCGTCAATAGTCTCAACCATCATGCAATCATACAACTTAGAGTACAAGACTTCTTCGACCTTCAGAGGGTCCGTGTCAACTTGCATTTTTGGCCTTTCGCCAAATTGAAGTCGGTCTTCCTTCAAAGCTTTCTGCACCAAACCTCTGAAAAGAACACATTGAGATGTCTTATGACCAAGGAAATTATGAAACTTACAAAATCCTCTTTTCTTCTTTTGTTCTAAAGGGGGATCTTTTGCCCCAAGAGGGACAATAATTTGACCGTCTTTAACTAATAAATCAAATATTTTGCCGCACTTAGATACATCCAAAGTATAAGTTTTCGCGACATATTTATCTGTTTTTTCAGTTTCGATAGGATTTTTTCCAATTGATGGTTTAAATAATTTACATGTGTAAGGAGGCCCTGACTTGTGCTAAGCTACGTTAACCTCGCTTTCGCCAACGAGCTCCTCATTGTTAGAAGAGTATTCGTCAGTGGCTACGTATGAAACTTTCTCTTTCTTGCGGTATCTGTTAGCCTGTGTTTTTTCATTTTTTAAACGTTCGACCTGTCGGACCCTATTAGCTAGTTGCGCCATATCTCTGAGATATTGTGTGTCTAACTTTTTTCTGATTGAGTAATGTAGGCCGTTAGCCGCCATCTCGACTAGCTCATGTTCAGGGACTTGCGTGAAGCATCACACCTTCAAAAGTCTAAACCTGTTAAGATACTGGTTCATTGGTCGAATCACTGGGTCAATGGTTTAACCGCATGACTATACCAAATTAAACTGAATAACTCAGTCGAATAAACTAATCTCTATAATAATACTATATAGTTATTAAACCAGTCGAACTGGACAACTGTGTCTTTAAAAAAAATCACGACACCTATAAAAATTTAAAATTTCAAAATATCATAACTTCACAAATTCATTCTTTATATTCAAATTCTGAACATAATCATCACATACAATAAAATAATACAAAATACAAATTCAAAATAAATTTTTAACAAAGTCTAATTACAACAAATACTGAATAACAAAATATATGTAGTATCTAAAATTTTTAATTTCAAGGATGAAATGTTTCAAATAAGTTTTGAACAAACTATACTTATATTTTAATTTTATTTTATTATTTAAAATTATCCAAACAACACCATTTTGTTTGAGAAAAAGCAAATATTTAACTCATCGATTTTTCAAAACCATCGATTCGTCGATTTTTATCAATTTTGGTCAATTTTAACCGATTTCTACTAGTTCACTAGTTTATACGATCTAACAATCGGATGAAACTAATAACCTCTTTAATTTTCGGTTCGACCAATCAATCCAAATCGACCAATCAATCCAATTCAATTTAAAAACATTGATCAATAATTTGATTTTGACGGAAAATAAAACTAGTTGCAAGAAAATCTCATAGGAAACTAAACTAAATTTAGGAGCTCTTATTTTGTATGAAAGAAAAATACTACTATGTTAGCCACTATAAATAGCAGGTAGGTGTGTTAAGTGTGAATGGGGGTACACCCATAACTTCTCATTCCAGCCCGGCCCGAATCTTGCAATGCTTGCCCGTTTTTCAATCTGTACCCTCTTTTCCCGTTTTTCAGTTCTCTCTTCTTCCTCCGAAATCGTTTGAACCAACGGAATTCGATTATCACTGCTTAAACCCTACACAGATTCATCTTCTCCATTGAAATGTCTACGCTAGAAATCGAAGCTCGAGAGTGAGTTTCCTTTACTAAACCCTAACCTATTATTAATTAACCCTATTTAATTTAATTGAATTGTAGCATTAACGTGAAATTTTACCTCATTGTTTTGTGATTTTTCAGTGTGATTAAAACTGTGCTTCAGTTCTGCAAAGAAAATTCATTGCATCAGACATTTCAAACTCTACAGAATGAGTGTCAGGTTTCTCTGAATACTGTTGACAGCATTGAAACATTTGTTGCTGATATTAATAGTGGAAGATGGGATGCAATTTTGCCGCAAGTTTCTCAACTTAAGCTTCCGAGGAATAAGTTGGAGGATTTGTATGAACAGGTATTTTGCATTTGAGTTATTGGGTATAGCTTAGAAAAATAATTTAACTTTATTGTATCTTTTGTTGTAGAAATAGCTTATAGATAAGAGCTTATGCTACAAGCTGCAAATTAAGTTGTTAATCCAAACAGGGCCATTGTACGATGTAACTGCGCCCAAATTAAGCTCTGGATTCTCTTATTTGAATTTTATTGGCATAAACAATTATTACAGTGTTTGGAAGAACTTATGAAAATAGCTTACTACATGTTCATAAGTTGTTTTCAGTTTATTTTCTTAAGCTCTTCAGGATCGCTTATGGAAATAGCTTATAATAAAAGTTTAACTTTTGGTTGTTATAGAAATAGCTTATACATGAGCAACTTGTGGTATAAGCTGCAAACTAAGGGGTTTATCGAAACAGGGCTATTTTATGTTACTATGCCCTAATTGAGGTTATTTATTAATAAGGGTGTGGCTATGGTTGCAGATTGTATTAGAAATGATTGAACTTAGAGAATTGGATACTGCACGCTCTATTTTAAGACAAACACAGGTTATGGGTGTCATGAAACAAGAGCAAGCTGAAAGATATTTGCGTCTTGAGCATCTTCTAGTTAGAACGTATTTTGACCCAAATGAGGTTAGCATATCTTTTTCTAATTCTCTATATGTTTGCGATTTTATGTTCTCCTTGCTATTTTGTTTTCACAATGATAAAATTGTGTCTTCATTTAGCTTTAATTCCTCATATTAAAACAATTACTATGTATTTGTATGCATTTGTGTAAGTACCAATTAAATTTTCAGCTAATTGGATAATTTTCATTTTAGCAATTAATTATTTTCGATGTCAATTAGAGCTAATGTAGTTTAGATAAGGATAAGTGTAGAAAGAAACTCCAACAATTATTGCAAAGGAGTGCTAAGTTAGATAGAAATACAGGATGGGCTGTCCTTTTAAACCTCAAAATTTGATTTGCTGTTCTTATGCTCTCTTTGAAAACTGAGTATTACAGATTATGGAACGACTTATAGAGCTTTTTACTAGTCATGAATCAGGGGTTTTTATTTGTTAAACTTGTGTTGTTTCAATGCACATGGCATGGGTTTGTGACTTGTGTTCTATGTGATAGGCTTATCAAGAGGCAACAAAAGAGAAGCGACGTGCGCTAATAGCCCAAGGTTTTTGTCTTTTCCTTTCTTGTTCTTACTGTATCTTATTGTGATATGATACCAATTTAATGATTATTGTTAAGAAATGTGGTTTGAGCCTAACTTAATCCTACAAAATCGGTTGGTAGATTGAGGACTGTCCCCACTTATAAACACATGTTCAGACCATATATTATCCGATGTATGACTCTTAACACACCCTTTCACGCCCAGGACTGGACATCTGGAGCGTGGAAATAAATGGTGGGTGGTCTGATAGCAAAAACCTCATTCTAGGTGGTCCACAGGATCTTTAAACCAAAGGCTCTTGATAACATTTCATTTATTCGAAGATTATTTTATTGTTTTAAGAGATATTTAATCAAGAAGGGGACCAGAAAAAGATTTTTTATTATTGTACTCACCAGAGTGTCACAACTCTATGCCTACGTATCCTCACGTTTAATGAAGAATCAGTGTACCGTAGTATTAGTGAATATGAATAATATAAAGTAAGGGCAGTTATGTAATTCCAACTGTGCTGAGTCATCACAGTTGAGTATCAGCTATATAAGCTGTAACCTAACTAATTGTATCCAACTAACACTTTCCGTTATGAATCAAGATGAGTTAGTTACAACTCTCTCTCTCTCTCTCTCTCTCTCTCTCTCTCTCTCTCTCTCTCTCTCTCTCTCTCTACCTATGCTCACTTTCTAACATGGTATCTAGAGCTTAACCTGATCCATAGCCATGGACTCCGATGCAAACTTGAACTCTGATAACACAACCAGAGCATCAACGAAGAATGTTCTGTTCAACTCAAAAAATGCATTCAAAATGTTTGTGCAACAAGTAACGTTGAAACTTGATGACAACAACTTTCGTTCATGGAAACAACAAATCAAAGGCGTCATTAGAACGCACAAGCTGCATCGTCTACTGGTAAATCCGGTAATTCCTCAATGATATCTCACTGAAGCAGATCGCACTAATGATGTGGAGAATTCTGCGTATGTGGAGTAGGAGCAACAAGACTCGTTGCTCTTCACATGGCTTCTCACAACGCTATCGGACTCGGTTCTTCCTCGAGTAGTTTGCTGCATTCATTCACATCAGGTCTGGGACGAAATTCATGAGTACATGTTCGCACACACAAATGCGAAATCATGCCAACTCCGATCTGAGCTAAAATCGATTACGAATGGTGAGAAGACAATTACGGAGTATCTCGCTCGAATTCAACACATTGTGGATGTTCTTGATTTGATCGATGATCCGATTTCGCATCATGATCAAATTGAAGCAGTTCTTGATGGACTACCAGAGGAATACAATGCCCTAGCCTCCATCATTCAGTATCATCCAAATTTGTGTCCAATCATTGAAGCTGAATCCATGCTTCTTTCTCATGAAGCAAAACTGGAGAAAGCGAAAAATAATGTTCTTGCTGAACATATCTTTGTCAATGTTGCTCAAGCTGCTTCTTCAGCACCTTCTTCCTCTGTTTAAGTTAGTCAAGATCCTTCCAACTTGTCTCAATTTGGTGCTGGTGTTGTGTCTAATTTTGGAGAGTCACATGGAGGTTTTCGTGGTGGGTCGTGGCTTTCAAAGTGGAAGAGGTGGTAGGTTTGGAGGCAGATCCAAAGTTCAGTGTCAAATTTTGCTTTAAGACTGGTCATGATGCTAGTGTGTGCTACCACAAACACACCTCCATGATGCCTATTGTGTGGCAATATGCTCCTCAAGGACCTTTGCAAAGACCTCCTTACTGGAACCAATGGACTAATAGTGCTCCTGCAACTATGCCTCCTTCTTATCCCAATCAATGAACTGCTACTCCACCTAATCTGTGGCTTGCTCCATCCTTAAGAGGTCCACCACCTGGCTTTACTCAGAAGCCTACTCATCAGCCACAAGCCTTTCTAACTGGTGCTGCTACAGAGGTCCCTAGTGCTAACAGTCACCTCTCTCAGGCTTGGTTCCCAGATTCAGGAGTCACACATCATGTCACCAACAATGCAGATTTCCTTTTAGAAAGCATGACTCTCCTTGGCACTGATCAAGTGTTATTAGGTAATGGCCAATGTGTGCCTATTACATCTGTTGGCTCAGCTTCCTTTTCTTCACCTTATCTCACACACACACACACACCCACCACACTTACACTTCACAATCTCTTATTGGCGCCTGCAATCACTAAAAACCTTATGTTTGTGAGCAAGTTTGCTAAAAACAACAAGGTATATTTTGAGTTCCATGCTGACAAATTCTTTGTCAAAAGACATGCCAATTCTAAAGTGGTGCTCAAGGGAGTGCCGAATAAAGATGGATTGTATTCCTTCCTCTCTCTTACCCAGTGTACCTACTGCATCAATAAACAACATCACCAGGGAGTCTTCTACTGCTGCCAGTCTTATCAGTCTTTCTTCTTATAGCTTGTGGCATAATAGGTTAGGGCATCCTCATCATGAGGCCCTTAGGACTATGTTGGAATCCTGCAACATTCCTGTGCCACACAAGTTTCCCTTGGATTTTTGTACCTCTTGTTGCCTTGGCAAAATTTATAGGCTACCGAGTACACTTTCACACACCACTTATGCTAAAGCTTTTGATTTACTGTACTTGGATGTATGGGGCCCAACTCCTATGAATTCTACTTGTGGTTATAAATATTTGTTGACATGTGTTGATGCCTGCTCCAAATACTCTTGGGTTTTTCCACTGAAATTGAAGTCTAATGTTATGCTCACTTTCACACACTTTGTCACTGCCATTGAGGTCCAGTTTGGCACCAAAATTAAATCAGTTCAAACTGATGGTGGAGGTGAGTTCAAGCACCTGAACTCACTGCTTTTTACTAAAGGCATTGCTCACAGGCTGGCTTGTCCTCACACATATCACCATAATCGTTCAGTAGAAAGAAAACATAGGCACGTGGTTGAAACAGGCCTTACCTTGCTTGCCCAAGCAAGTCTTCCCTTAAAATTTTGGGACCATATCTGTCTCACTGCCACCTACCTAATCAACAGAATGCCAACCCCCATCCTAGACATGAAGTCTCCATACTTCATGCCCTATGGCACTATTCCTGATTACAAACATCTCAAGACCTTTGGTTGTGCTTGCTATCCTCATCTCATCCAACAAGTTCTACTTTCGTTCTCAGGAGTGCATCTTCTTAGGCTACTCATCAAGTCACAAAGGTTTCAAGTGTCTTGATTCTAGTGGAAGAATCTACATTTCCAAGGATGTTGTATTTAATGAAATCAAATTCCCTTATCCCATGCTTGCCTCTCAACCTTCTCTCTCATCCCAAACTCCTACTTTAAACCTTTCTGCACCCTTTCCCATTTCACTTACTCTATCACCACCCACTGCCAATGGGATAATCAAACCTAGACTGCATCCTACATTACTTTTCTCTAAACTTGAACCCTCCTCACACAAGCAGCTTTAAAGGATCCTAAGTGGGAGGCTGCTATGAATGATGAGTATAAAGCCTTGCTTGACAACCATACTTGGACCCTTGCTCCATTATCTTCCTATAGGAAGGCTATAGGCTGCAAATGGGTATTTTGAGTCAAGCAAAATCCTGATGGTACTATCAATAAATACAAGGTTAGGCTTGTAGCAAAGGGCTTTCACCAACAAGATGAGTTTGATTTCACTGAGACCTTTTCACCAGTTGTGAAGCCTGTTACAATCAGGATCATTCTCACCATAGCCATTTCAAAAAGGTGGCATATCACCCAATTGGATGTAAATAATGCCTTCCTCAATGGTCTTCTTCAAGAAGAGGTTTACATGAAGGTCTTCTTCAAGAAGAGGTCTACATGAGGCAGCCTCCTGGCTTTGAAAGCAGCAACTCAGCTCACCTTGTTTGCAAGCTCAACAAGGCAATTTATGGGTTCAAACATGCTCCTAGGATCTGGTTTGAAAGGTTGAATCTAGGACTCAGGAACTTTGGATTTACCTCAAGTAGGTGTGATCCTTCCTTGTTCACTTTGGTCCTTCCTTGTTCACTTTGGTCACATCCAGAGACACTATCATTATGTTAGCGTATGTTGGGACATCATTGTTATTGGAAACTCTCTTTCTCATATTTAGGACTTGATTACCAAATTGAACTCTCAATTTGCTCTAAAAACAACTAGGTGAACTTGACGATTTTTTGGGAATTGAGGTGTCTCATAAAAAAGATGGCTCTTTGTTCTTGTCCCAAACCAAATATCTTAAAGATCTACTAGCCAAAGCCAAGCTCAGTGATGCAAAAGGAGTGCCTACACCTATGATCTCAAGTCTCAAACTCACCAAACATGGCACTGATGTTCTACAGGACGCTACCTACTACAGGTCCATAGTTGGTGCACTGCAGTATGCCACCATAACCAGGCCTGAGATTAGCTATGCTGTCAATAAAGCTTGTCAGTTTCTCTCTAATCCTCTGGACAATCATTGGGCAACTGTAAAGAAAATCCTGAGATATCTCAAAGGAACTCTTTATCATGGGCTGCATTTGCAAAGAGCCAACACTCAAGTTCCCCTATCTATAACAGATTTCCCTGATGCAGATTGGGGCGCTAGCCCAAATGACAGAAATTCACATCTGGGTACTGCATTTTTCTAAGCTCTAACTTGGTATCTTGGTGGTCAAAGAAGCAAACTTTGGCATCTTGGTGTAACCTAACTAATTGTATGCAACTAACACTTTCTGTTATGAATCAAGATGAGTTAGTTACAACTCAATCTATTCTTCTATCTCTTCTTTCTTTTTCAAGTATCTTATTCGTCCTCTGATATGCAGTATCTTATTTCAAGTAACTCCTGGTTGCCAACACATTCTAATTCTGGCCGAATTAACCCAACTCCAATATGAGGCCTATGATGATCTAATGATGATATTAGACACGAACCGTCTCTGCTATGAAATTTAGGTGGTAGCAGGTGAGAGCGGGCATTTCATAGTAATTTAGAGTCATCTTGAATTAACAGCTTCCGTGTGTCTTCCATTGTAGTTGTCAAAAATCACGGTTGAGAAAATAATAACTGAGTTAATATTTCTTCATTTTGTCGAATAAAAAGATATAAGCAGAGGAATCCGATGTGTGCAAGTTCTCAAATATTATCCGAATTTTGATGGGTCACGCTCTCTTGGTTGTGGTTCGTAATAAGTGGATGGCTAGAGGTCGTGGATGGTGAAATTGCTTTCGATAGGAAGGATTATGCATGTTTTGTCTTTGTTATCATGACACCGGGTCAGACCTCATTGTAGAACTAGTTTAAAAAAAATCAAAATCAGCTACCGATGGAAAAAGCAATTCTCTCATGCACGCACATTTCTTCTTCTTCTTCTCTGGCACTTCTTCTTCGACCCTTCTCTGACAATGAAGACTTTCCTCTTCTTCTGGCTTCCCTTTTTCTCTCATGCACGCACATTTTTTCTTCTTCTCTGGCACTTCTTCTTCGACACTTCTCCGACGATGAAGACTTTCCTCTTCTTCTGGCTTGCCTTTTGTTTTCTCCATCAGTAGCTGATTTTGATTTTTCTTAAACTGGTTCTACAATGGGGTCTGACCCGGGTGTCATGATAACAAAGACAAAACCTGCATAATGCTTCCTATCCAAAGCAATTTCACCTTCCACGACCTCTAACCGTCCACTCGTTAAGAACCACAACCAAGAGAGTGTGACCCATCAACATTCGGATAATATTTGAGAACTCGCACACATTGGATTCCTATGCTCTTATGCGATAAAATGAAAAAATATTTGCCCTGATTTTTGGCAACTATAATGAAAGGCACACAAAGCTATTCTCTCCTCCGTCAAATTCCATACATTAAGATGACTCTGGATTACTATAAAATGTTAGACCTTTTCAAAGCACTCAACCAAGCTGGAATTACTCCCCGCTCTTACAACCTAAATGTCATAGCAGACACGATTTATATCATCATTACATGTTCATAGGCCTCATATTGGAGTTGGGTTAATTCGACCGGAATTAGAATGTGTTGGTAATCAGGAGTTATTTGAAATAAGATACTACATATCAGAGGACAGATTTCGATTGATTAATTGCCGAAAGGACTACATATCAGAGGACAGATTTCGATTGATTAATTGCCGAAAGGTAGGGTCATGTGGAGATAAGTTTCAATTATTGACGTATCAAGAGGAAGAATTTGAATGCCAGCCGTCTCCTCCTCCTCAGTTCCTTCTCTTAATTTGATTGATTTTTCTCTACTAATTCTAAACTAATTAGTTATTCTTCCATTATGTTTTGTGCTTTTGATGAGGCACCTGTGCTATTGATGATTGTTCAATTAGCTAAGTGTTATTTACCGATGATTGTTCAATTAGCTAAGTGCTATTTACCGATGATTGTTCAATTAGCTAAGTGTTATTTACATTGTAAAGGTTAACTCAAATTTTAGGTGGTATTAGAGAAGTGGTTAGGTTAATGGTGATCAAAGTTATTGAGTAACTAAGTGTTAGGTTGACTCAGATTTAAGTGGTATTAGGTAGGGCTGTTCGCGGTTCAGTTTGGATCGGTTTTGAAGCAAAATAACATCCGATCCAAAGGTAAATTTACTCACGGTTTGATTCGGTTTTGGATGATTGATTAAAAAAATTCGACCCGATCCGATCCAATTTTATGCGGTTTAATTTGGATCGGTTTTTTGGATATCCAAATTACAAATTATAACTTTTATTAGTATTTTAAAAGTACTAATAAATAATAAGTTTGATATAATTTATATTATACTATATCAAAAGTTATATCAAAAGTTAATATTACAAGATGAAAATAATAAAAATAAATAGATTAAATCAAACTAATAAATTTATTTAAAAAGGTAAGTATCATCTGATATTAAAGTAATACAACATATATACTAATAAAAAATAAATAAGTATAAAAAATATATACTTGCAGTTTGGTTTGGTTTGGATCGGTTTTGAAAAATCAATCTGAAATTCAATCCGAACCAATCGATTTTTACAAAATGACATCCAAATACATCAAAAAAATTTCGGTTTTTTGTGGTTTTCGGTTTTTTTGGATCGATTTGCGGTTTTTATTTGGATTGGTTTGGATTTGAACACCCCTAGTATTAGGGAAGTGGTTAGGTTAATGAGGATCAAAGTTATTGAGTAACTAAGTGTTAGGTTGACTCAGATTTTAGGTGGTATTAGGAAGTGGTTAGGTTAATGATGATCAAAGTTATTGTGCTATTTTTTTGACATAAAACAATTTAGATGTTTAACAGAGTTCAAATATGATAAGATGAACAGTACCCCAGTAGAACAGAATTATAGAGAAAGAGAAATTGCAAGGAACTTGTGATTTTTCATTAATAAAATAAAGGAAATGCAATCTGAAAAACTACAAAAGCAGTTTGCTCTCTCAGAAGATAACTTCTTCTGGCCTAGTAACTTCCTAACCCCTTAAAAAAACAATAAACAGCAACTTAAATACAACCCACAACATCAGCCTATAACTAACTATTTGAATTTAAACTAACACACAAAAATTATATTACATATTTATTTTATTTCTCCTTTGATAAACCCTCCAAATGACAGGTTTACCCTTCTCCGTAGTTTGTGCGCTGTCAAAATATGTGGTTAATCACATTTAATTGGTGGTTAATGAATATAAAAAGGTGTCGCAACTCAGTATACATTAGCTATTCAATGAACACAATTAACCACAATTTACACATGTCATTACCAAAATTATCGGTCATTTGTATGATGGAAATAAGATACTTATATTGTTGGACTTATAAGATATGTTCTCCAATTCATGTTTTTGAACAATATAACATCTGTGTTTCCGTTTTCAGCTATTGCAGCCGAAGTGACTGTGGTGCCACCTTCCCGATTAATGGCTTTAATTGGTCAGGCTTTGAAATGGCAGCAGCATCAAGGTAATTCTTTTGGTTCAAGTACTTGAGCAATGAAGACCATTGTTTATATTTGCAACTCTTTGATGCCTAAGAATGAATTCTGTTTTTAAAATTTCAATTATAGGGATGCATCTTTCATTTCTCATTTAATTAAGCACACAAAGAGATTACTTTTTTATATTTTGGCATGACTAAATTTGCCATGCCTGGAAATGATAAAATGCTTGGCTGCCACCTATAAAGAAGTGATACATGGTTTTCCACCCTGTATCTGTATCAGATATGGTCACATATCAGAGTACGCCATTCTAATGCTGTAAAATGCTTTGTCGATACACATGCTATGAAAATTGAAACTACCAATTAATTGCACTTTAATTCACTGATTCAGGCTTCACTTCATTTACCTTCTCTGTCTGTACATACCCACTGGCTGCTTAGCATAGTTTTATTTACTCGCCCAAAATTTTATCTTTTACATGCCACCGACTATGACATCTTTATCAAGTCAGCCTTCATGTGAAGGGCGTGCCATTTAACCATTTACATATATAAAATATTTGATTCTTAACAATAGTGTTAATAGGTTTCTAAAGAATTTTTTAAAATTATATTCATTCAATTAATCGAATGTCTAGTAAACCAAAATGGTGTGTGCCACAGCCACAAAACAAAGTAGTGGTTTCTTTGATGTGCACCGTGGAAATATGTTGTGATATTTATTGGGTGAGTGAAAATTTTATATAGACTGTAAACATAATATGTAGAGTTTGGATTGATGGATGACAATAATTTGCAATTTATTAATCTTTTGTAATTATTTTTTTTACTTTCTTGTGCACTCTTTTAATTAAAGGAATGCTGTATTGCCGTCTTCATATGTTGCCACCATGCTACTTAGAGGATAATTTATATCTTGATGGTGATGCTTTGCAGGTTTACTTCCTCCTGGAACACAGTTTGATTTGTTTCGTGGAACAGCTGCTATGAAACAAGATGTTGATGACATGTATCCAACCACTCTTTCTCACACTATAAAGGTATGTTTTTTATATCCCTCAAGGCATTGTTTTTGTTACATTTTAATGGATAGTGTTAAGAAATGTGGTTGGGCCTAACTCAACCCTACAAAACCGGTTGGTAGAGTGAGGATTGCTCCCACTTATAAACACATGTTCATGCCATATATTGTCCGATGTGGGACTCTTAACACACCCCCTCACGCTCAGGACTGGACAACTGAAGCGTGGAAATAAATGGTGGGTGGCCCGATAGCGGAAACCATAGAAGGTGGCCCACCGGATCTTAAACGAGGCTCTGATACCATGTTAAGAAATGTGGTTGGGCCTAACTCAACCCTACAAAACCGGTTGGTAGAGTGAGGATTGCTCCCACTTATAAACACATGTTCATGCCATATATTGTCCGATGTGGGACTCTTAACAGATAGTAACATGTGATCAATACTTAATGAGACAACAACAAATATGCAGAGCCAAATATAGTTCTGCACGGTCATTTTTATTTGAAGAATGAACTTTCTGCCATCGAATTAATTATTGCTTTCATTATAGTTATGTTTTTCCTTGTGATGTAGAATCTTCCTGTAAAGTTTATTCACTTTTGTTTTATGGTATTTTTCTGTGATTCTTTTGCTTCAGTGAAAGTGAAACACGTTTTCTTCATTTATCTATTCCCCCTCTCCTTTTTTTGGACTCAATTTCCCTCTTCTTACTTTATTGGTTATTGGTTAAGGCAGAATGGCACATGGGAGTTTTGAAAGGGGTGTGATTAGGGTTTTATTAGATGTTATGAATCTGCAAGGTTGTTGTGGTATCTCATTTGCATATCACACGATTAAGAAATAGGATGTTTCTTTGAATACATTTTGTTAGTACAAGTCTTTGGAATTGTTTTTGGCAGCATGTTGGATAGCATTAATGTGTACAGTAGAACTAGGTTGTTTGTAGCTTTACTGTTATGGTTGGCCATTGGGTCGTTTTTGTTATAGTTCTCAATTTTACTTGCTTGTTCTCTGTTATAGTTAAAGTAGATTATTAGAAAGAAGATGGCTGGCTTTATCTCTTTAGGTGGCCGTGCATCTTTTCTTTAGGATGTTTTAATGTATTTTTGTCTGGATGGTCAAAGAGTCAGAAAATTATGAGAATGAGAATTTTCACCATCCTATGGATTGCATTAGTATGCGAGAATGATTGCAGAAAGTGATATTCTGTGGTCATATCATACTGGGTCGTTAGTTATCGGTTGAACAGTAGTTAATCTGGCCCGTATTTATGTTACCTTCTAGAGGTTGTCTTATTCTATCCTTTTATATTTTTCCACTATTATTTTCTATAAAATTTATTAGTTTCATTGATCTCCCTTTAAAGTTGAAGAATACATAGTCTGACCCTTTTCTCGTGTGTGCTTCTAGTTTGGGGCAAAAAGTCATGCAGAATGCGCTCGCTTTTCCCCAGATGGGCAATTTCTCGTATCATGTTCGGTTGATGGGTTTATTGAGGTATGCATAGTTGAATTTGAAACTTCCATTATTGGCTGTTTTTTCTCTTCCTGATTGTGGTCATTTTCTAGGTCTGGGATTACATAAGTGGAAAACTGAAGAAAGACCTCCAGTACCAAGCAGATGTAAGTTGGTTTTTATTTTAACCGTTTTATGTATCAAAAATCAATGTCTTGTATGTGATAAACTTCCCCGGAAAATTTTCTTGGCCCGTTGGTTTCAAATCACTTGGTTTTTCTCAGTATCTTTACTTTTATTGGTGCATTCAAAACCATAGAAAAAAAACTTAATTTATCAAATTTCTGTTGCCAATCAGGACTAATTTAAACTTGATCACAAAATGTAGATTTTTGCTGTAACATTAAGTATGATTTGGGGTTCACATGTTATATATAAATCTTGTCATTTTTTCGTAGACGTTTTTTTTGATTGTAAGAACTTGCAGGAAGTATTCATGATGCATGATGATCCGGTGCTCTGTGTAGACTTTAGCAGAGATTCAGAGATGATTGCGTCTGGGTCACAAGATGGAAAGATTAAAGTGAGTACTATTAATAATTTAATATGCATTGAAGGTGTTAGGAGCCAGCCTTTTTTAAGAATCTTATATTCTCGCATATCATTTTATCTTTTTCAAAGCTTGCACATATGATTGTTTAACATTTTTGCAAAATCGATCCTAGCTATAGAATAGAACTTGGTTAGTGAATTTGATCCTGTACACTAGTAATGCATGGTGGAGTTGTCAAAGAGTGGCAAATCGTGTCACTCTAGTAGTGGTTGTTAGTTAGTTAAATGGCTCCAAAGATTCTAAGAAAAGGGGGTTGAATAGAATCTACCGCATTTTGAAAAATAAACACTTTTTCTTAACTTGTAAAGGAGATTACTAAAGGAATGGAAGGAATTTTTATTTTGTAATAAAATTGATTGAACTTATACGGTGATTTTACTTAGACTAGTTCAATATACAAAGATTAATAATACACCAGCTAAAGGAAATTTTACTCACAAAAGTTCACTATTTCCCTCACATAGCCATGTTTTTTTTCTTATTAGTCACAATGTGCACCGTATTCTTTTTCCATTGTGCTCCTTGTTTTTTTTTTTTTGTTGTTGACTTGTTGAATATGCCTTAGATTCTAAGCAATTTATTCCCCCCTCCATTTCAAAACATATATTTGTCAGTCAGCTTCCGTTAAACATAGGTTCTATTCTTATGAGGAAAAAAAATTTAAGTTTCATTGTTTTTGTACTGAACTCTAAATTGTCAATAGAACAAATATTTCTTTGCCAATACTATTATGGTATGGCATATTTAATTCTCATGGACGGAAATCGTTTGCTCGGGTGGAGATGGTTTCTGCATGGGTGTTTCTTTCTGTGTTATTTTAATGATGCTATTATACTTATATTATGTGGCTTTTCTTGAATTTTATCTAACTGGATGTTTTTATTGAAAGCTGGCTATTAAATGCCAATGCATCAATGTACTTATGTACATATCGTAATCTTTGTGATTGTTTTATCTTTAAATGATATTTATAAATTTGATTGCAGTTCTTGTCAATGTTACAGTTGTAATGTGTTTTTGTTTTCACCAAAAACTATTAATGTGTAAACTTCAAATGGTATAATTCACATTTCATTTTAGGTGTGGCGTATTAGGACCGGTCAATGCTTGCGGCGTCTTGAGCGCGCACATTCCCAAGGTGTTACAAGTCTTTCCTTTTCACGTGATGGAAGCCAGTTATTAAGTACTTCGTTTGACAGCACTGCAAGGTTTTGTTATGTTAATTATATGTATTCTATAACTTTGTTCTATATAACCATTTTATGGGCCTTGCTCCTTCACCCAAAACTTCAAATTTCTACTGAAAAATGTTCTGTAACATTTTGACATGCAGTAATAACCAAGTGAGTATAAGCTAGTGTCGTTGATTATAGTTGATGGTGAGACAAAATCGAACATGCAAGCTAACACTAAATTAGCGAATAAACTTAATCTAAACCATATCACACCTTAGACCTTGTAAAATGTTACTCATAGAGTAACTCTGAGTTTGTGTGTATATATATTATATACGGAAAGAAAAGAAACTGCAGAATTCAATCATCCTGAACTTACTATCATGAAAAGTTTCAATGAAGAAAAAGAGATTTTATATTTAACACGCCATTTCTCAGAAAATGTCTTTGGTTTTGAGGCATGGACATATTTATTCGCAATCAAACTAATTCTGACATGCATGGACACATGTATATGCAATCAAACTAATTCTGACATGCATGGACACATGTATATGCAATCAAACTAATTCTGACTTGTATGGACATGGTGTCCAACTATTCCAGAATGTAATATTTATTTAGAAAAATGGGACTAACAATTGAACTGTAGACCAAATAAACACTAATGTCTTATTATGAGTTGAGTATTAAAAGCACTCGACAGATTGCAAATTGAATTACTGATATCCGTGCAATCCTTACATATTTAATCAAATATTTAGCAACTGCTGAGTGCAATTGTTCCTTTTGTAATATAGAATCCATGGACTTAAATCTGGAAAGATGTTGAAAGAGTTCCGAGGCCATACATCTTATGTGAACGATGCAACTTTCACTCATGATGGGAGTCGTGTTATTACTGCATCCAGTGATTGTACAGTCAAGGTCAGTTACTTGACAATATACACGTGGCAAGTGTCTTGTTTTTCACTTTTGTTCTTGAGACATGTACTTTTTCCTCCTTACTGCAGGTTTGGGATTTGAAGACTACAGACTGCATACAAACATTTAAGCCACCTCCTCCTTTAAGGGTGTGTCTTTAAAAAAAAATTTCATTTTCTTTTTTCTTTTTTATTTAGTTTTGTGATATCATTTTCCCTAATTTTATTTTCTGTAATTTCTGGTTCCGTTGGACTGATAGGGAGGAGATGCCTCAGTTAACTCTGTTTACATTTTTCCCAAAAGTACCGAGCACATTGTTGTTTGTAACAAAACCTCATCAATATACATCATGACACTTCAGGGACAGGTAAACTTAAAAGAGTTGATGACTAGAAGTCATTTCATTTATGCGCAGTTCTAATGTGTAACTGTCTTAATTGTAGATATAGTTTTTTTTACTTTCGTCTGAACTTACATATTTTGTTTAGTGTTTTATCAATGTTTGAGCTTGCTTTTCTTTTTTTATTGTAGGTTGTAAAGAGTTTCTCATCTGGTAAAAGAGAAGGCGGGGACTTTGTTGCAGCCTGTATTTCACCTAAGGGGGAATGGATTTACTGTGTTGGTGAAGACAGGTTGGTAGCCTCTCTTTTTTTTTTCTAACAAATTATAATCTTTCTTTTCCTCCCAGATTATAATTTGAAATTGTCATATTCTGTTTTTAATGGAATCTTCAAAATAAATGCAGGAATATGTACTGCTTCAGCTATCAATCTGGCAAATTGGAGCATCTGATGAAGGTATGTTTCTTGTATTGTATTGAGGATGTTGTTCTATTTATTTAGTGTGTAATAAAAGAATCTCTTGATTAATGGCAGGTCCATGAAAAGGAAATTATTGGTGTTACTCATCATCCACATAGGAATCTTGTTGCAACTTTCAGTGAAGACGGAACAATGAAGTTGTGGAAACCTTGATTTTTTGTTTTTTTATTATTGATGTACTTCTATGTCATGAACATCTGCGTAGGATGAGTAATGTAAATTATGGAGCTTAATTTAATGCATTGCTAGGAAATAGCTGTATACTGTTTGAACTGTAGGTCACTTACAATCCAACATATGCAAGTTTCAGAGAAACAGCACTAAGATTGTTCTTCACAGGAACTTACTGTGTAACTTCTCAATTTAAGAGTAGCGAACGAATATGATTGCGACAACAAAATTAGCACGTAATCAATTCATCTGGTTTATATATAATTCAAATATAGGTCATCCAATTCAACTCATCAGTGTAAGTCTTTTAGACTTATACATGATGTCAATATATCCTCGGCAACTTAAAATTGAGTGTGAATTTTTATGAGTTTGAATAATTTTAATTTAAGATGATATAATACTCTTAATATTAAAAATATATACTAAATAATAAATATTAATTTATTGTTTTATACAAACATTCTTTTAAATAAATATTTATCTATTTTTCAACTTTTTTTTATTCACAAGTTATAAACCAAAGATCTTGAGATGCTATTGGAAATGCACATTTATCATTTAAAATAAAATATGACTCCAACTTTAAATGTGTTACTAGTAGGATATTTGTGTGCCATGTGTGCCCGCAAAGATCAATTGATTTTATTTGATATATAATTTATTTAGATGCAGCTTGAAATATGAAATGATCGATTTAATTGCATGATTAACAATAATCATACAAAATGAATATGAATAGTATTAGAATAACCATACAAATAAGAATTTGTTTAGGCATGAAATATGATTGAGCAATTGAAAAAGATAATCTAAAATATAATATTCAGTTCCTTTGAAAGACAAACAATCAAAACATCAAATAATGACGTGTTTCTACTTAATTTAAGAGATTAATCTATATAATTGTTTTACTAAAAAAATTTGTTTTGGAATGTTCTTTTTGTCCTATATTCCAATGTCGACAAGGATAGTTTCATGGCTCGACAATAGTTGTGCATATTAGAGTTGAAATCTATTTCAGCATGTTGTTGAAATATGTTAGCTTTGTGTTTAAGTTAGTTTGTCAATTAAGCCTTGTTTGTAAGTCTAACTCTTAAGTTAACTTGTAGCTTAAGTTAATTTATTAGTATATAATTAGAGGTGACAATTGGATCCAATAAGACAAAATCCAATTCATCCATCAAAAAATCCATCCAATCCATCCACCACATAAAAAATAAGTTAATGGATTGGATTAAATGCATCCATTTATATGTATGAATATATTCAATCCATCAAACATATTTAAAAATCCAATGAATTATTTTTATTTTCATTATATTTATTTAAAAAAAATTAAAACTAGATTTTTTAAAAGAAAAGAATTTATTTTTTTCAATAAAAAAATCGGAATTTTTCCAAAAAAAAATCAATTTTTTTTGACAAAAAAATTGGTTTTTTTTTTCCGATAAAAATCTGTTTATTTTTAAAAAAAAAATCAGTTTTTTTCTAAAATAAAAAACTGATTTGTTTTTCAAAAAAAGATCTTTTTTTTCAAAAAGAAAAATTGATTTTTTCCGAAAAAAAACCGAGTTTTTTTTGAAAAAAATGATTTTTAAAAAAAAACAATTTTTTTCAAAACAAAAAATTGATTTTTTTTTCATAAATTTTTTTTCCAAAATAAAAGCCGAGTTTTATTTTTGGAAAAAAAATCGATATTTTTCAAAAATTAAAATATCAATTTTTTTTCTTGAAAATACAAAAAATTCAATTTTTGTCATGAATATATTAAAAAACAATTTTTTTTTAAATACAAAAAATGAATTTTTTGAAAATAAAATAAAAAATACGTTTATTTTTTCGAAATAAAAAAAAAATTGGATGGATGAATATCCATCCATTAAAAATATGTTAATGGATGGATTGGATTGAATAATTTTAAGAAATTTTAGTGGATTATTAATGGACTAATGAGTTATTTTAATCCATCCATTAACAATCCAATCCATATCCATCCAATCCATCCATTTTGTCACCCCTATATATAACTAGACTAGTTCTCTCAGGTTGTTGACATAGGTTAATTGTTGATATTCACGTGTAATCCTTGAACCCTTATTGAGTAAGTGAATAGTAAAACAATTTTAACCAATTCTTATCTTCTTCTTCCTTCTTCTCTATCTTTTGTAAGACCTAATAGGGTTTCTTGTGTTTGTTCAAGAAATTCAATATTTTTTCTCATATTTTGGTTTGTTCTTGACGACATAAATTCACAACAAACTGGTGCGGTGAGCGTGGAGGAGAAGATGTCGTTAATAAAGTATGAGATTGAGAAATTCACTAGTGTGAATGATTTCAGTTTGTGGCACTTGAAGATACAGGCCCTTCTTGTTCAACGAGATTTTTTAGAAGCGTTGAAAAAATTAGAGAAGATGGACGTTGCGCTATCAGAGAAGAAGACATCGATGGTCGTAAAAGCCCACAATGCCATTGTATTGAGCCTTGGTGATAAGGTTCTCCAGCAGGTTTCAAAGGAGAAAACTGCAGCAGGTGTGTGGGTGAAAATTGAAGGTTTGTATATGACGAAACCGTGGGTTAATCGTCTCTACCTGAAGCAAGCTTTGTATTCATTCAAGATGAGTGAAGACAAAGTCTTGACTGAGTAGCTGGATATGTTCAACAAGTTAATTCTTGATCATGAAAATATTAAGGTCAAGATTGATGATGAAGATCAAACGTTGTTGCTGCTATGCTCTTTACCTAAGTCCCATGCTCATTTCAAGAAACTTTCTTGTAAGGAAGAGAGTCGTTGACCTTTGAAGATGTTCAATCTGCCTTGTACGCTAAGGATTTGAACGAATGAAAGGGGCACAATCCATCTTCTATTGGTGAATGTTTGTCCGTTAAGGGGAAATTCTTGAAGAAATATGATAGGTTTGAGAAGTAGAAGAGTAAAGTTCTACAAAACTCTTACTATTAAGTATTATCATTGTAAGAAGGAGGGTCATACAAGAAAAGTATGCCCTGATCGACTGAACAATTATGGTGGACAGGATAATGGTAATGTAGTCATTATCCAAGATGATTATGAATCAACTAATGTCTTGGTGGTTTCAAGTAGTGACTATAGCAAGGAGAGTATTATGGATTCATGGTGTATTTGGTGTACTTGGCACATGACTCCAAACAAAGACATGTTTGTAGAATTGTATGATCAAGATGGTGGATCAATGTTGATGGGAAACAATAAAGCTTACAAAATTGCAGGGATTAGATATGTGAGATTCAAGCTCTATGATGAGTCAATAAGGCTATTGACTGATGTTAGGCATGTACCTGATCTTAAGAGGAATTTTATTTCTCTTGGTGAATTCGACAAGAAAGGATATGTTTCAATGGAGAGCAAAACATCCTAAGGGTAATGAAGGGGTCAAAGAAATTCTTGAGAGGCGTGAAGAAACAAGGTATGTATACCCTTGAGGCTGAGGTTGTAAGTGGTTCAGCAGACGTGGCATCCATAAAATTTGTATCGAAGGCTGATCTATTCCATAAGAGACTTGGTCATGTCAGTGAAATAGGCCTAGTCGAATTGGCGATGCAAAATATGTTGGGTGGTGACAAGGTCGAACAACTGAAGTTTTGTGAACCTTGTGTATTTAGTAAATCATATAGAATGAAGTTTACCAAAGGTAAACAAAGAACACATGGATCCCTTGATTACATTCATGTTGATCTTTGGGGGCCTGTAAGGAATCCTTCACACTCAGATGCAAAGTATTTTCTATTCATAGTTGATGATTACTCCAGAAAGTTATGGGTATTCATCCAGAAGAGTAAGGATGAAACTTTTGAAAATTTCAAAAGTTGGAAGACTTTGGTCGAAAACCAAAATGGCCAGAAGGTTAAGATGTTGAAGATCGACAATAGTCTTGAATTTTGCAATGAGACTTTCGATAACTATTGTGTTGCGTATGGTATTGTAAGGCATAAAACTATTGTAGGGACTCCCCAAAAAAATGGTTTGACTAAAAGGTTTAATCGAACCATTCTGAAAAGGGTGAGGCGCATGCTGGTAAGTATAGGATTGAAGAAGGTGTTTTTGGCAGAAGCTGCTGGGACTACAACATACTTGATGTCGTACCTCAAAAAAGTGAGAACGACCTCGCAGAGCACAATCGCAGGCTTGCAGGATGGACTTAACAGATTCACCACCGATCTTTATTTATTCCCATAGAAGAAAAGGGAAAATACTGAATAAAACCCCTAAAAGAAAAGACAAGGATATGGTCATCGCAACCGATATCTGAGTTCAGGAGTTGGTTACGCAAGGGGAAGATATTAGCACCCCTCACATCCCTTGTACTCAATAAGAACCATTTAGTTATGGTTGAATGCATGTTAGCTTATGTTAGTTTCTAATCTTCTGTTTATTTGGGTAGAAAAGAAAGAGAAGAGAAATGTTTTTGAATTTTTTATTGAAGAGAAAGGGGACCTAAGGGTTTTTATTACTAGGGAGCTTGATAAGACTTCACAATCTCGTGCCTACATATCCTCATAGTGCAATGATGAAATTAGAGCATTCGTAGTCCGGAGACTACGGTGAAAAAAGAAAAAGGTTGTTGGCCAAGGATTAGGGTCCTTGTGCCTACTTATTCTCGTTGTGAAATGAGAAATCAGAGCATCGATAGTTACGGGTAAAAAGTGTGGAGGCAAATCGCCACACATCACACAAGTCTGCAAGACATTGGTCAATGCAGGTTTCGATGATGACAAATTCCCTGGATAGATTGGAAATTATAAACTCCAGATCTACTAAACAGATACAACGTATCACCTACCATATCCTTTTATACTTGTCTTAAAACTGCTGTAATAAATATACTATGTGTAGATAAAATGCAATCGTGACCAGAGGCATGAAAGACCACAAACTGATGAATTTTTGCAGGTTTGAAGGGCATGAGTCGACCATAGGGTCGGCGCGTGCATCAGAGCAATTC